AATTGAGCAGATGGATCTCAGCACTTGAACATGGATGCCAGCAGCAATATCATCTTCCCGGCATTCAGGCTGGCCAGAGAGAAGAGGCGCTGTCAGACAGTCACGAGTCGGGCTCGTGGAGCATGGGAGGTCGCCCAGATGGGTTTTGTATTTGGGATATTTCTGGACAGCGTTTGAAGTTTGAAGGTGTTGGATCTTAGTCACAGTCGCCATGCTATTGTTGGCACGGTGGGAACTCCCCAAAACAGCAGGGAAACAAGTTCTAGATTCTAAACCAAGTCCATCAGAGGTTTTAATCTTGAGTGTCGAATGGAGGTGGAACCTGGAAATGCGCCAACTCTTCTTGTCGATGATCATGGAGGAATGATTTCTCACCACACAGGTTCATCTTGCTTACTGATGTAGCTGTTTGCTGCTGTTGTATTTTTTTTCAGAGTTGAACGGGAAGGCTCTCAGAATCTGTACTGTATAGATATATAATCCCCTTGCCAGTATCCTCTATTAAATGGGGAGGGTCCACCCTCCATATTTTGAAATATGACCCCTACCCCTTGAGGGGGTCAGGTCCTCATTTTTTAGAGGAAACTGTTTGTGCATGATGTCGCCGCTGCTTTCCATTACTTTCCTTGCAAGACGGTAATATCTGCTCATGAACAAAAAAAAGATGAACATGATATTAGGTTCCCCTAGGAGGTTGGCTCCAGCGTTTTATGTCTATAAAATGGGCGTTTGGACCCCCCCACTCATATTGGAATGGTGATGATATATACACTATGATACACTCACGACACGGCACCCACGGCCAACCACTTGAAAACCACACCCCCACCCACCCGGGGCGCTTCGGGCCGTTCGGTGTCGAGGTCGTCAAACGCACCGACGGACCGACGCTCGCGCCGTGCGACGCGCTCCAGGAAGGGCCGGGATCGCGACGGCTCCTGGCGGTCCGGCGGCTCGGTGGGGACGCCCCAGTTCGGCCGGACGAAGCGAAAACGCCCGCCGCACCGGTGCCCCGCAGTGCGACCCGGGGTGGAGGCCAGGGCCGATGCTATATACTGCTGGGGTCAGAAGCCTGAGGGAGGAACGAACCCATGTTCACGTCTTCGACTATAGCGAGTGACTGGATGGTTTCGTTGGACCAGGACCAAGCATACCGCGTGGACCCGAGATACCATATCTTATGGGTCTTGTTTGCAGACGTTTAGTAGTAGATGAAATCAAGCGCAGCGCTTTATTGTTCGTACCAATGGGTTTGCTCACTTATCGTTCAACATTCCAGAATTCCAGGATTCCAGATATGACGTGCCCAAGTCCAAACGGTTAAGGTGGAGGCCTTGGTAAATGGTTATTTGATGTTATTGGTTTGAGCAAAACTAGGGTGTTTTAGATGCACCTTTTCATTGCAAACACCGTAGGAATGCAGCATGCAACATGAAAAGTGGGTTTGTTGTAGGCCTGACTAGAACACCCAAGCCGAAGCCCCCTTAGGTTATTATCTACTCTAATTCTGAAATTACTTCATCGGTGCCTCCATTTGGGCATCTCTCATTTTGACCGTCGCAGCAATTTAGGAAAACGATCGAATACGAGTTGAGCCTTTTGTGGTGTGTGTATGAAGCTGCACCAACATGTTTTGGTCATATTACTAAACTCACTCGGGGCGGTTTTGGCCTTGAGGTCCGTTCTGGTGTCTATCATGGTTTCCTTCGTGTTTCTTGAAGCAACACCTCGACCATTTCGGAGACTGCATGTGATTCTTCTCTGTACCCAAACGTAGACGATCAATAGAAGATGTCCAGCATGTTCGATGCACGATTGATAGAACCGAGTGCCTGGTCTTCGGCTTCGGTTCGCGCGACGGAAAAAAAAAGGCGGGCGACTTTTCTTGGGTTTCACGACAGATCTCAGCAACACGATGGCTTTCATGCGAGACGTCTGAAGCGAAGAGTGGACACCTCCAGCGTTCTTCGACCGATCCACAGGGGCTCTCGGGCTCTCGTGCCCTGCTGCTGAACCGGAATTATACCGAGGCGTGGGGTGGGATGTGCTGGGTGTGGACTCCAAAGGATCCAAAGCTCTTTGAGCCTCGATTCAGTGAGAGAAGGGATTTTGTCCACCTGATGAACGCCCGAAACCGTTTGCTAGCATACATGGGAAATATATATATATATGTATATAGCATCAATATATATTAATGTACAGATTAGATTAAACTAGGCTCCTTTTGATAGACGAGGCTCCTCCACATTTTTGTGCGTTCTGCGGCGCTTCCTGTTTGTTTCCTTCAGTGCGCTTACGTAAAGTCTTATTACAGTTGATCAACAGTATGTCCTCTGGGCGCAAGGGTTTGGGCCCTTTTCTATAGGTGATGAACAGGGTCGCCCACACAAACCGGTCGCATGTCAAGTCGAATCAACCCCGGTCCGGGTTCCTTCCTTGCGCCCGACGCGTTGGGAAAACGATCCACGCAACGTTGTCGACTCGTCCCATCCCGACTCGCAGCAGGACTTGCCCCACATGCCGCGCAACGCGGCGACGGCGGCGAATAGCTCTTATGCGTCGCTGGGGCAGGAAAGGCCAAGCAGGAGGCCGAAGCAGAGAGGATGTTCGAGCATACGTGATTAGTTTCGAGGTGATTTCGTTCGCATTAGAACATTCCTAGGAGGTTTGTGGAATGACTGTACACTGTAAACCCAAACAGCACCGTATGAGCATGCCAGCCAAGCTGAAAAGGGTGGTGGTGTTCTAGGCAGGCAATTAGAGTTTCCAAACAGGACGATTTCAATGTAGAGGGTATGCCCGTAGGCCCGTAGGCGGTAAACAGACAAGAGTCCCAAAGCTGCAGTTTTTTTCTATCCTTTCTTTGAGCCGTATTCACTGGTATTCACAGGTTTAGCAGGAATGCTTTTCTTCTGAAGTCTACTGAACCAGTTTGGTGTTCGTCGGTTTTTTGGTAAACACTGGCCTGTGGAATGTGGAAGCACTTCGACTAAGCAGCGATGATGCGGCTTGGCATGGGTCAGGTTTGCGAACGGTACATGCAGAAAAGAAACTGAGCCAAATCATGCCTTTCATCACTTTGGTAAAGAAACCTCCTTTGAGGGGTGAGAGTATCTATGAATTTCATGTATGTTCTAGGTCTAGATAATTGTTTCAGCAAGACATATCGCAGCCAAGAAGTCCTTTTCGCCATCTAAGCCATTTGTCTACTTACCATGCTGAGCAAGCGCTACGCCTTATCTGTGTAGTTCTGTTAAGTTCCGGAGTATCCGAAAGTGGTTTCCATGCCTTGAGAAAGATCCGAGTTGTGGTTCAGCGTAAGAGGAGGATGGGGTAACGAGTCACACCGGCGAACGTCACCGTCGACCATCGCATTTGTCACTTGTGGATTTCTAGTCTCGGGCACGCCACCATGGCCCTTACCTTTAGAAGAAGATATCCGTCAAGAAAACATCAAACAAACCATCTGAGAGCACCCTGAGCCCACCATAGAAAGACACACAATGTTAAACACACATGTTTTGCATTTAATATATACTCAAAGGTCCACTGCTCAACATGAGCTGTGGCTTGGACAGATTCGCAAGTCGCGCCTATATTGATTTTGCAAAGCAATCACATGTTTTGCACTATCCGAAGACGATCTGACCGGGATCTTCTTGTTACTCACTTCACCCCAACGCAACGGCCGAGGCCCGAAACCAGCCGCCGCACCAGCCGGTCCCGTTCCCGGCGGCGCCGGCGCTGACGGCGTGCGCAGCTGAGGGGGCGGGTGGCGAGTGGCGCTCTGCGCGCGCCGCTGGTGGACACACATGGCCAGGCAAAATAGAAAGGAGTCCAAGCAAGCGAAAAACAGCAAGTACGCAGTTTGGAACATGGTGGAATAGACTTGCAGAGATGTCGCCAGCGAGTGAACAAGTGCTACACTCTTTGGAGTGGGATTCGGCGCGTTCGTCAGCTCTCACGCGCTGGAACACGGTAGAGACGCGGTGGAAAGTGGAAAAAGGGTGCACCCACGGTGCCTGGCCTTGCTTCTCCGTGGACACTCCTGAGTCCGTCATTGCTTCTCCTCAAAAGGAGCGTTTGTGTCCGAAGGCTTCGGAGCTCAACAAAGAACATCAACGAACCTAAACGTATACGCCCAGCATCATCATATATGAGTGAAGTACTAAGCCTGAAGGATCTGTCGATGGCACAGGGTCGAAGGGACCATCACAACAGCCATGAAAGGAGGACCACTGTGCGGTGTGTTTTGTTCTGTCATTCTTGTTAGCAGTGGAAACCCATGTTTGTGATGCAAGGAGAAGTCAACAGCTCAGAGTACCCCAGACTACCCACCCCTAGGTGCATCAAAAAATATTCGGGTCTTGAGATCTCCGCCTCGGTCCGGGGATGGGTTTTTATCCTTGGTTAGTTTTGCCAAACAAGCCAAACAAGCGTCGCAATTCCAACGCCACCCTGCTCATATTGAGGAAAAGTGTTCACCCCCCTCACGTAAGGTCATGTTCAAGGAGGTGTCACAACCATCATCAGTCAGGAGTTCCTATGCTGATGACAGACCAAACCTATGCTGATGCAAAAACAGTAAGCTCCTTTCCCAGTGATGCAATTCTCATTGCTCCTTTGTTGATTTATACTTATACTTCCCATGATTTTGCTGCACTGGTCAAAGAGGTAGGAGGTAGTTATGCGTGGTACCTCCTCATTTGCCTGGACTCCAATCCACCCAGATGCATACCTTGAATTGAAGAGAATCTGAGCGGGTGAATCTGAGCATTGTAAGCTCCTGCAGGCTCGACGATCAGGACTCACCTTTGTTAGTTGAACCAATCAAGACTGGGAGAACACAGACAGATACAAAAATAACTACCAAAATAGCATGAACTACGAAGTACATTGAACCTTGGACAACAATACCAAGTTGATTCACTTCCATTGGAGATTGCCAAACCTTTATATACATTGACCTTAGTTGCCAGCTGCCACCGTGACCTTCACCATGTTCCTTCCACTTTCATGGCCGCGACGTCGGGGCCATCCTTGCCAGACCGCGTGGCCCGGGCGGTGATCGACCGGTACGACCAGCTGCCCGGGCGCGGCAAACCGCAGGGCCGCGCATGGACGGTGCTGGCGGGCATTGTGGCAGAGAGAGGACGAAGCCTGAAGGCTGCAGCTGGGGCGGGGAGTGGGTCTCCCCTCCGCCCGGTGTGACTCAAATCCCTCACACGGTGTTGCCCCCAAGTGGTGTGTCTTAGAGGCCTGTGGAAGGGTTCGCCTCCATGTCTCAGTGTTGGAAGTGGTTTGGAGGGGCTTGACCCTTGCTGGGACGTATTCTATGCCAAATCTTCCAGACCTGGCACTTCATCCCCTACCAAGCTGCCCAAGTGCTCCCCCACATCTTTACATCTCTTTACTTCCCATCACCTCCCCAAACCCAAGCTGCCCGCGTTTTCATCCCCCCACGTCTCTTGTGCCTCCCCTTGTCGCCTCCAAGTCGTTGACGGACACACCGACACCGACGTCGCATAGGTCTTGGCCTTGGCCACCGGCACCCGCTGCATCGGAGTGGCCTCCATGGTCGCACGGCCGCTGGGCCACGTGCTGCACGACGCCCACGCGGAGGTGCTGTGCCGCCGGGCCTTTCAGCGCTGGCTGGTCTCCGCTGCTCGGGAGAAGGGCGGGGCGCAGGGATGGGAGGTCTTGGAAAGGCGGTGGAGGAAGGTGGAGGTAGGTGGAGGCTGGAGGAAAATCTGGGAAATGTTTTGAGCATCAACGGGAGGCAAGTAAAAGGGAGACCAATTGGACATGGATGCAACTTTCAACATTCACACAAACTGCGACGGTTTTACGGAAGGGGCGCTGTACCTGGATCTAGATGGTTTGCGCGAGGCTTAGGGCTACCACCGTCTTTCTTCACCAATCCCTTTGACCCTACAAAGGCGTCTTTAAGGCACTAGTGTGACAGTGTGTACACAGCCGAAGGCAGCCATTGGTAAATGAACGTTTTCTGATCTAATTGTAGATCCATCTTCAGGGACAGTACTGAAGGCTCGAGGATCATTTGAGATCTTTGGTGCCACACTGGACAAAAAGGGTAACAGATAGAAAGAGGCAGAGAGACGGAGGGGGAGATGATTTGGGGTTAGGGATCCCCCTTAGAATATCCACTACAAAATGGATGGCCATGTCGCCAGTATAAATCTGAATTCTAGTTCATTTTGAGGGTACCTGGGAGGGGGTGGGGCCTTGCAATTTGTAGAAGTGTGATGTTTCATTCCCGGGAATGAAACATAGAGTCTCGGCCACCTGCACTTTGCATAAGGAAATTTTGTCACATGTTGGAAGCACGCCAGGGGGGTAGGCCAGACAGTTTGTAGTGAGGCAAGAGAAGAAAGTAGACAAACAGAGAGAGAGAGAGAGTATTCGAGAGTAGAAAATATATACAAAACATATAAAACACTATACTTATACAGAATGACGGTGCCCGTCCTTTGGTTGTCAATTTTGGCAGTCACCAATGAGTGCACTACAGTTGCAAAACCAGGGTTTATAGTTTACTCATTTTGGAAAGCTTGAGGTTGGACCCTCCATTTTGTAGTGCACTTTGTCCTTTCTCTTTCGAGGACAATTTTTGTTTCAGTCCTTGCATTCTATAATGAATGTCCTCGAGCTCTTGCATGGTATAATGCCAAACTCTGGCCCCCCGCAAATCATTGCTACAAAATGCAAATCCATCGTCTCCATGGGTATTTGAAGGGGGATGGTTAAGGACATTAGCAGAGAAGACATGGGTCTGGAGAACGACAGAAGTTAGAAGGTCAAACGTGGTCAAACAGATACATATATATATACAAAAATAGTAATGTTTTCTTGAGCACCCCCGCGAATTCGACGAGAAAGCTACGTACTTCAGAACATACATGACATGGATGTTGCAATCAGTTTCGTGCCCGCAAACAGCACAGGAAATGCTCCACAGCAAAGAGGAGAGAAAGAGAAGCTCCTTTCTGAAATTGGTGGATGAGGCGAGCTGGACGTGTTTGGTGCGTGGGGAAGGTCAACTCCGACCGCAAGTCCAGGTTCGTGCTGGTACCACTTGGTGCCTACCAGTTACCAGTTGTAGTGTAATATATAGAGGAATACCTGTGATGGTCGTCGAAGTTTTGCATTCATTGACCAGAGTATCAGCCTGAGCCGGGTTGCCTCACCCCGGTGGGGAAGGTCACTCCGGTTAAGGAGTGACAAAGGTCCTTTCCGGCGTTGCAAGAGACTAGAGGTAGGTTGGTCCAGATGGGATGCCTCCTGAACATATGGCCATGGATCTTTTCCGGAGACGTGCCTGTTTTCACAGGAGGATCTACAATTCTCTCTTGACGATGATGTCCACTTGCATTTCTACGTGAGCACACTGCCCTGCGGCGAGTGTGCGTTGGTGCCGCTGCAGAGCAAGCTTGGTACGTTGGCCCGAAAGCTGACGGAGACCACCGAATCGGAGACCCTAAAGGACCGAAATAGGACTGGAGCCAAGCCATCTCGAGGGATGCCCAACGATCCACAGGCGGAGGGCTTGGAGTTTCACCAGGAGGGCATTTTGAGGTACAAGAGTGGCCGAAGCGATACCCGACCCGAAAGCCGCAGCGTCTGTTATAGCTGTTCGGATAAGATTTGCCGCTGGAATCATATTGGATGGGAGGGCGCACTCTTGTCACGCCTCCTGAAGCGGCCTTTGAAGACGCCTCGAGAGGAAAAACCACGCACCTTTTCAAATTCTTTTCGGCAGCAAAAGATGAGCATTTGAAGTAGTAAAGTAAGTCTTGAGGTTTTGTAGTACAATCAAAACATGGAACAATTGTAAACCCAAGTTCATACTTTCAATTGCTAAGTTTGCCTCCTTTCCCTCCCTTCGCCACTTTCGAATCACTGAGGATGACGTCCTTGATCATTGGGGGCTCCATCTACGACCAAGCCTTTGTCCACCGCGCCCTCTTTGGCCGCGCGGGCGTGGCTTCAGCGCAGCTGGCCCCGCAGTTTCACCCGACGACGGTGGAGTTCGGCGCGTCTCGCGAGGCCGCCGAGGCCGATGCTTCATCTTCGAAGGTCTCGACCGGCGGCTTGAGCTTAGCATCCTGGATTTGACCCGGCTGCGTTGGCCATGTATGGCCTGTGTGATCATGTTGTGGCTGCTCTTTTCTAGGAAGAACCTCCAACCGGTTTTAAACAATTGTTTTTAGCCGGAGGTCTTTGCGAGGTCTCACTGTTCGTGGAGCCAAATGGGTATAACAGAATTGTTCATCAAGGTGTCCACCTCTTTTTGTGTTTAGTGACAACTAATGAGCTATAGGCTATCTTGATCCATAGGTGTTCACAAAGAACTAGCACTGAGCACTGTCCTCTTCAAGTGACCTTGGGGCACGAGCACACACTATCTGGTCGCACCGCACTGCCATGGCCCTCTCCCGAGGTTTGGACCGAGGAGTTGGAAGACTCCACCTCTCCGAAGTCCGCTCCCGGCGCCACCTACGAGGTGCTCATCGGCCACACCGGGCAGCGCCAAGGCCTGCGCCACGACCGCAAGGCGAGCCGCCGCGCAAGGCCGGCGGAAGCTGCCAAGGCGGCGGGGGACCGCGCCGGCGCGGTGGATAGCTGGGTCTCCGTGCTTTGCAAGAAGCTCAAGGCGCAGGACGGCAGGATGAAAGTCAAAGAAAAGCGGAGAAAGAGGCCAAAGCGAGAGGGTGGTGGTGCAGGATGCGGTTTGACTTGTTCATGAATCAAAGTTCTTGGCCTCCCTTTTTTGTGACCAACTCCGACTCCTCTAGAAATCCACTTGTGCCCTCTGAACTCTGACCCTGGTCCTAGAATCATCTAGAATCTCATGCTCAGACAAGTTCACAGAAACCTGGCCAACAAACCAACCTCCTTTTTCGGAGCGAGCGGAGCCAGCAACACCAGGCTTCTCAACTTAGCTAATGACGTTATGCCAGATATGTGCACAGTAATTCTAAGACCCAAGACCCAAGACCCACGACGTATCACCGGATCCAGTTGCAGGACCTGCTGCAATCTTTGCGCCAGCTGAAACACGATGAGGCGCTACAGGACTGGCTCCTTCGTCCCACCCTGAAGCGCCGGCGCCTCGACGAAGCGGGCCATGCCGCGGAGGGCGAAACGGGCCATGCCGAAACGGCCCGTCGAGCGGTGGCGACGTTCCCCAGCTATGCATGGCTTAAGGAGCGCACAGACAAAGCAGACAGGGCAAGCGATGGCCGAAAAACCGATGAAGCAGGAAATTTGTGAACTTTTGCGTTCAGTGAAGCCATGTTTCAAGAGTGCTTGGTTGGATAAAGTCCAATTCACAAACTTATTCCCAATAGCAATTTTGCTCCAGGATCATGGGACTTACACGACCACTTGCACCAATCATGTAAGTTGGCACAAAAGTCTATGATGCTCCTATCATGCCAGGAGATGATGACCAGTGACGCCTATCGTGCCTCCAAAAAGGACTTCCATTCTGGGGATCCATTCTGCCACTGGTGGCGGAAGCAAAGCATTGAGTTCGAGAATGACCTTGACGGCGTGGACGGTTTCCAAGTTGACCTCTTGGCGGAGATCTTCACAAAGAACCCTGATCAAGCAGAGGTGCCCTTATAGCAGAAGCTTCCCTACGAACAGATCATCTTCTCCAGGATCACTCATCACCCACCAATTCGAGGAAGCCCACTTGGCTTGCTGGCTGCGATGACGCGAGCCGACGCCTTGACTGCCTGGACCCAGTCGACCGACCACGCCGACCACGCTCCGTGGCGCTCTGGGGCACAGGATCCTGAGAACCAAGGACATCGAGACTAGAAATCCGAGGAGAAGAAGCAGCGGATGGTGCGAAAAGTATTGTGAGTTCGACTTGCAAGAACATGTGCCTTAACAGGCCTCCACGAGTAGCAGTTGTTCCAGATGTTCTTAGGAAGGGCTTATCCTTCCTGAATCTTGCTACTCACTGATGGACCTCAAGCTTCTCGGACCTTAACAAGAGCTATACATTTTTAAGACCATGTAGGCGTTATGCAGCAGTGCGAAGCCACAAGAATTCTATGTAATGTGGAACTCTTGTTTTCCGGACCACCTTGGATCCCAACACCTGTGTAGTTATGGATGAGCAATAGATTTATCCGGCCTTTATGGACAAAATACACCGTATGATGTCTTTACAGATATACGTTCCTTAAGTGGATGGTTTTTGCTAAGTGCCTGAAGCGGTCAGGTGTCTAAGCAAGGTGTATTTATAGTAATATTTTAGAGTTATAATTAGTGATATATCATTTGCATGTGTACTATATATATATATATACACTATTATATACTATCTATATATGAAATCACCTACAAACAGTTTTCCGGTTGCCCGGCCTGTGTTTCCTTTCTCCCCTAGCCTCACCGCCCCGGCGATTTCGCAGCCTTTGGCCCAGCTGTTTTCTCGACCGACCTCGGGCCAGCGCGGTCATGGGCAGCGCGGCGTCGGTGGTGCCGCTGGATCCCGCGGAGCTGCACCGCGTGGCGCTGCAGCTCACGGCCGAGCAGCGCCGCTCGGGAGTCGCGGGGAGTCGCTGGGGACTGGTGGGTGCTGGGTACAAGTGGACGGTTTGAGGCGGAGGGTGGCACTGGAAGAGGTTGAGGACGCTCCGAGGACGCTAGCGTTTTTCAAATGCTCTGCGAATAAAGGTGGACGTGCAGCACTGCACGACAAGTATACAAGATTATACAAGTATTTATAGGCATTCGACTCTTCGATCATTTTGATTGTCGAACAGGGCTTTATGGCTTTGTTTTTGAATTGGAGAATTCTACATATTATATATTGATGTTACACCTCTTGAGCGTGAAAACGGAGGAAAAACGGCTCTAAAATGTTTTAAAGTATCATGCACAGAGTTATTGCACAGAAACCGATGTTGTTTCGGGATGTTTCGGGGACCTTGGATCTTCCAAAAGACGGATTGGGCCCGACTCTTTCAGCGATTCTTCGGGCGACGCAAAAAAAAGGGCGACGGTCGGCCTGCCCCTGACATTCCGGCCTGACATTCAGGTGAGAAGCTTCGGGATGCGGTGGCATATGCCCAGGCAGCTCAGGACCCGATTTTTTTTGTTGGTCCTATTATTTGTATCTATTTGTGAGGGAGTTGGATTGTAAATCACTCCGGTTTGTGTGCATGTCCAGAAAGGTTTTTCATCTCCATACGGGGAGTTTTATTCATCAACAGCCTACAACAATTAGATACAATTAGTAATTAGTAGAAGTGAAGATCATGGTTTTGGTATCTTAGTCCGTTTTTTTGAGGCATGTTAGTCCGTTGAGGGTGAAGCAACATGTGTCATTCTTCAAACCTTCACATAGGCAGCCAGGCTCGGGCGTCTCGCACGTCTCGCACGTCTCCTGACTTCCCCTCTCGCAACACCGGGTGGCGCATCACCCGCCACACCGTGGGATCCTGAGTGATGCGTGTTTCACACACTGGGCAGTGATGCGTTGATTCTATCTCTGTGACTGAATAGAATCTCTATTGGGAGCTCATTCCCTTATTCCCTACTACGCACCAGTCAGGTGACTGGGAACCTTTCCAAGACCATGGTTCTGGAAAAACAATCATGAAATAGACCGGGACATCCAGGACATCGTGGCGGGAAAAAGAAGGGAAGCTTCCCGACCCATTTTCAGAAATGCACCGGTCAGTGACCAGGGGGCCCACCCTTTCTTCTCTTGGACACAAAAGCACAAGTCTTGGATTTAGTTCTTGATCCAAAAAAGGATGTCCTCTGCTGCGATCATTGTTTCGAACTGACTCTCCGTCCGACCTGCACACTGCACGCTTCGACCTGAGAGGACGGAGAGATTCCCTTTCCGGGCGAGCAGGCGGTGTGCTGAGTGACAGACCGGACTGGGGAAAGGTTGGCCGGATAGGTGGAGCGGGTCCCGTCTGACTGGACATTTGACTGCACACCCAGGACACATGTCCCACATAGCTATACATTGGTGGAGGGCAGGGAAACATCCAGTTGGTGAAGGCAAACCTCAACGAGAGCTGATACTAACCTGGTTTGCTTCAGGTGAGTTTCGTTTCGTGTGGTCAATTCAAGTATCAGAAGAGAAGGTATCAACACTCGTTAAGGCGAAAGTCTAAGGAGGAAGCACATTGATCAGATGTAGGTTCATGGGGTCGAACAGGATCAGAAGCACTATCCCGCCGTGCAAAGTTCAGTTTGTGAGCGGCCCTTCTTGGGCCTTCCTTTTGACTCCCGTGTATGTCCACCATGCTCTGCCAGATTCGACGTACAACAAGGGGCTTGGCTCATGATTCCGTTTGAGTGTTCAGCCAGTGCCAGGCAAGTGGTTCCTGATTGTTCTTCTTTTGTGCTGTTGCAACCATTTGCAACCGACTTGTTCAACAAGAGCGTGTGGTGGTCATCGGAACCTGCTGTTGCTTCACCTCCGAACTCAAATGGAATTTCTCAGAGCCTGCAAGAGCTTTAAATCAGGACCCATAACCTGTCAACCACTCATGACAAAGCCGAAAAGACAGCCGGGAGGCAAACGTGATGAACATGATGCCCATGACACACATTTGGGCTTTTCTCGAAGACTTTCGACTTTGGGAGGAGGTGCCCTTGTCACGAAAGGTAGCTTGAGCTACCTGAGTTCTCCTTGCTTTAGCAAAAATGTATTACAATCAGGAGTTGGGATTGTGCATTGAGTTTGGTCCTGTAAGAGTTGATTCTGTTCGTCGGGGGTGGGGGGCCCCCAATCCCCCCTCCGCCGGTTCACGCCGTCATGGACTTTTGCCAGGGTTGCTTGTGATTGCCTGCTGCCTTTCGTTCACCCCCTCCTCTCTCCAGTGGGGTACATGGACAAACTCAACCAGCGTCAACTAGCCACCAAAGTCTGCGCCAGCGGCCTTTATTTACAGCCACCGCTGGCTAGCAGCCACGGTACGCCCAAAAAAGGCTTGTGCTGTCTAAAGAGTCTAAAGGATTTAGGTTCCAAGTCACTCCAAAATAGGATCCCAACTACGGATCCAATAGTGTGGATGACTCCCGTTGCACTTCCCGAAAAAAACTAGCGGGCCAACGTGGATGGCGTGGCCTCAAACGCAAGACCATGAAATCACGAAAGCTAGCATCAGCTAGCTGGAGTTGCTCTTGCTTTAGCAAGTCAAGGGCTCACAGCCTCGAGAATCATGAAT